ATTTTAACTATTTGTAATTATTTTAATTAACTGGAACGTGGCTATCTTGGACAAAGTGAAGTTTTGTGTGTTGGTGATTTCTTTTTCTACTATAAATGCCTCTGATGATGGCTCCGTGGTGAGCCGAAACATGTAAGGCAGGTGCTGACGAGGTGGAAAACTTAAAAAAGTGTCACATTTGACGGAAGAAACTTGATTGTTAATTGGTTAGTGTGACGGACCAGAATGAAAGACCTTAAACTGGTTGACATTCTCCTTGGATCAGATATGCTATTTGATCAATATTCGGTCATTATAGCTACTTTCTATTGTTATTTTTCATGCAGAATTCAAGGTGACTATATCAATTTATTAGTTGGCTGAGAGACTGAGCTGAGATTTTCAAAAGATATGCTGTGTTTGTTATGATAACATTTTTGTAAAATCAAAAAAAGAGCTTGTCAGCAATGCGAAGGTTGTATCTAGCTTTCAGTTGAATGTGATAACTTATGAACTATTGTTAAGTAAGTAAAGTAAAAGTATAGGGATCCCTGTAACAGGCCGTGGAGGCCCATAGTGTTGTGAGATGTTGAGGTTCCCACATTATCTAGACAATCTACTCATAGCCTTTGATTGTGTTAATCATGATGTTCTATTATCTAAATTGAAATTTTATGGAATAGTAGGAAAAGCTAATGCATTACTGGAATCCTACCTTCATGGTAGATATCAAAGAGTTGTAACTAATAAGAAGTGCACTCACTCAAGTTGGGGTAAGATTATCAATGGTGTTCCCCAGGGATCAATCTTAGGTCCCGTATTGTTTTTGATAAACATTAATGATCTGCCAAATATTATAAAGAGTAAATCAATACCTATTCTCTTCACGGGTGATACCAGTATTATTGTTAAGAACTCTAATCGTATTGAGTATGAAAATGAACTAAATTTAATATTGAAAAATATAAATGAATGGTTTAAGGCTAACTTACTGACACTGAATCTCAATAAAACGTACTTTATGCAGTTCTCAACCAAGAATAGTATTACAATGGACATACCTATCATTTATAGTAACAGTCAAATTGCTACAACCGTTGATATTAAGCTCCTCGGTCTGATGACTGATAATACCCTATCATGGAAAGGACACATTGACTGGCTCATGTCCAAACTGGTTCAGCTTTCTATGCAGTTAGGGCTATTAAACCCTATATGTCTTTAGAATCAATGAGATCAGTATATTTTTCATATTTTCATTCTATTATGACATATGGCCTGATTTTCTGGGGTAATTCACCCCTCTGCATCCATATCTTTAGACTACAGAAGAGGGTAATAAGAGTAATCACCAATTCTAGATGTAGAGATTCTTGTAGGGAGTTGTTTAAGAGATTAAAGATTCTGCCCCTTTACTCACAGTACATTTTTTCCATTTTGTTATTTGTGGTCAAAAACAAAGATCTATTTTTATCTAATTCTGAGATTCATACAATCAACACAAGACATAGTAATAACCTCCATTATCCCTCATGTAACTTAACTGTCTTTCAAAAGGGAACATATTATTTTGGAATTAAAATTTTTAATAAACTTCCACCTAATATAAAAGAACAAGCTCATGAGATTAAAAAATTTAGGTCTGCTGTTAAAAAATTCCTATTTTTAAAGTCATTTTATTCATTGGACGAATATTTTAACTGTGACAACAATTAAAGTTTCGGATTTGTTACAGGTGGTAGCTGATAGCGCCTTATTGTTATAGATAATGGTTTTTGTTTCATGTTGTATATTATTAAATTTAACTGATATGGCATTACACATCTGTGTTGCAGTATGTGATTTACTCATGTTGACTATTTCTATATCCATTGGTGTTAAACCATGCAAGGATTTATGGAATGCTGAATAAATGAATGAATTAAAGAGGGCGGTAAGTTTGTCAGCCTTATGCACTGGCCACCCTTTACCCCCAAGAATATTCCTGGCACTCATTTCTGTTAGAGGCTGAGTTGACCCCAGCACCATAGTGCAGTTGGACGGATTAGGTAAATTGAAAAATACCACCTCATTGGGATTCAATCCTATGACCTTCCAGCTTGTAGCATAGTGCCTCACCCAACTACATTACCGCGGGCCTTCATGAACTATTGTAGCACGTGAAATATACTCAGGCAGATGATATATTATATAACTAAGGTCTACGGTCTGAGGTTCTCATAGTGGTGGTCACGGAAAAGTTCTGTCTTCTAGGGTATAATGTCAGGTAGTCCACTGAAGTCCACTGGCGTTTTGGAGAAACATATTGTCTCTGTGTGCAGGATTGAAGAGTATGCCAAATAAAGAGGCCAGAATAAAGATGGCAGCAAGCTGCTGCCTGTTCCTCAAAAATGCCAGCTGATGCCACGAGACTGCATGGCATTTACCAACGAAGACAAAACTTTTCATAACAAAGGTTGATATCTCAGTTTGTTTATAAGATATTTGACTCTCTTAACACTGAATATGAAGATTATGGTCTTAATGGTGTGTGATGTGGAATAGTCTGGTGGATATGTACCTATCTATGACACTATACAACATCACATTCCAGAAGACCATAGTCTTCTCAGTTCATGCACTCATGTGGTATTTACAAGATTATGTGCTAATCAGAAAGACTCATATATACAGATCTGAAAATGGATTGGGAGAAAGTAGCTGTGGCCTCCTTAGACATTGCCCTGAACTGATGATTTCAACTATTAGAACTCGAGCTTGGAGAGCCACTGGTCAACTGAAATCCTCTGTTCCTTTCCTTTCACCTGCTTTTGAGTAGAATCAAGTTCACAGTGCAATGAATAATTGCTCAAATGGCATCAAACAAAACTGTATCAAACTGAAAAATGTGCTCCTGTTGAATTCCACAGTTTTCTCTGTATCTACTTGCTTCAATTCATGCTGTGTATTTATCCTTTAGTACAATATTACATATCTTTAAATATTTAAGTACTGTTCTTCAAGTCTTAAATTCTCTTTGATGCACTCAGTATATTTTAAAGGACTAGTTTTAAAAGTACCTGGTAGATTTGGATAAAGATTCTTAATTTGAAACTACTCAGATTCTTTATTTCATTTTAGGTTGATTCATTTGATGTACATATGCTTGATTTTGTTCAATTTTAAATATTTCCCCTGGAATTCCTCTGGAGAGGCTGAGGAAAATTCTGAATGGTTACCTTTCATGTAGCTAACCTGAGGATTCTATAAATGTGCCTCCCCAATTGATTCAAGAGTAAAAGTTTTCTAAAAAGTAATTGGAATTTTAATTACTTAAATGGATTTTCTCTCAAGGCCCTGTGATCGGTAAGAGTTTTCATTTTGTTCCTCAGTCCCTTCATGCACATGTACTATAGGAATTGTACTTAAAAATGGATTCCTTCCATATCATTTCCACTTCATTTTTATTCTACTCAGCACTATATATCCATTTCTGATGAGGGGGTAAAATGAACATATGAATTTCCAACAATATGCCATAATAACTGTATACACAAATCCTGGGAAGAGACTATGGATAAGACAACCGAACAAATTCACACAAAACAAACGCCTCCAGAAATTTTAACTACGTAATAGTATCCAGCACCAGAATTCATTACGACGGATTAACTATATGCAAATAATTTATGTTAGAGAGCATATAGCACACGTTTCAGTAATTATATAACAAGCATTCTAATGGTTGCTTTTGCAATCGACAGGAATACAGACCGATACAGACACTGATATTGGGCCCTGACGTGTCAAGCAGGGAATACTGCGTCGCAGGCGTAGAACCACACCTGAAAGCTCCGAAGACGTCATTGGTCAAATCTGCTTCTGCGCCCTAATTACAATTTAAAATCTACCAATGAGCAATCGAGAAAGTTCGTAAATTCTGGATCGTTCTGGAACTTGAACACAAATGATTTCTGTTCTAGAACGCAGTAGAAGCCGGTAGAAGCTGTAGAAATTTCTGGAATAGTAAAAAGGAAAGTTATATATTGCAAGTAGTTTGATAACGCAGGAACAGTTACGTTTGGTTGTTTGTGAGTTTCGGTTGTTGCTGAAGCAAGTCAGTATATTTGTTCTACCTTTTAATCTACAGTTTTCGCATAAACGGACGAAAGGTATGTTAAACGCACACTGCTTAGTATCGAACAGCTTGATGTAGAGGTGCTTGCACGGGATATCGGCTACTGTAGCAGGATATTCGTGTTTTTCCTAAGCCCTTCAAGACATGTTGGAAAAATATCACGACGGCCCACAGCATATTATTTCCAATTATTTTATCCTGCCATGCGGCGTTATAATGTCCAGAAACTGACAGCAGTTTAAAATAATGCACAAGTTAAGGTTATGACATTTTTGTTCTGGCATGTAGAAACGATTACAGTTCAGTTTTAATTGCGATACGCTTTAGTATGGTACAGCGCAATTCATAAAGCCATTTTATAATTGTTAATTTCAGAGGAAGAACTGTGTACCGTATTCTTGGA